CATTTTTGTTCGCTTTGGAGATTCCGTATATCGTCAGGTTATCGGAATCCCAATGGGAACTAACTGTGCACCACTTATTGCGGACCTTTTTTTGTATTGCTATGAGTTACAATTTATGACAAAAATCAGCAAAGACCCATCGAAACAACATCTGATACACAAATTTAATAATACTTTTAGATATTTGGATGATATTTTGGCTCTCAATAATGACGACTTCAGTATGTATACTAAAGAAATTTATCCTGTTGAACTTACTTTAAATAAAACTAATACTAACAATGACCACTGCCCTTTCCTCGATCTTGATATCTATGTCATTAACGGAAAGCTTAATACTAAAATATATGATAAAAGAGATGATTTTTCATTTCCTATCGTTAATTATCCATTTTTAGATGGTGACGTTCCCTTGTCACCATCTTACTGTGTTTATCTATCTCAACTTGTACGATTCGCTCGTGTATGTAACAATGTATTAGATTTTAACGAGAGAAATTTATGTATTACTGAAAAATTATTACACCAGGGTTTTCGATATCACAAACTAGTCAAAACATTTACTAAATTTTATCATCGGTATAAGGACATCATTCGTAAATATAGCTCAACATGCAGACTTCTTATACGTTCAGGTATTTCACATCCAATTTTTTATGGAAATATTCTTTATAAAGCACAAAAATGTCAGTATTCACCTCTGAAGCTAACAAAACCTTTAAATAGACTTATTTAGAAGGGATATAGTTACGATACTGTTGTCAGGTCATTAAAGATTGCATATTTTGGCGTTAATATTGATTCACTTATAGGGTCTTTGCATCGGCACTAAACACATTTATTTAAAAACCAGTTGTTGGCATGACACGGGTTATGTTCTTCTCATATATGTTATGATGGTATGATACTAAACCCCTAACGGGAAGGATTGTGCCTGATATTCATATGATGAAGACATAATCTTTCAATCAGTTTAATTGAAGTCTGGAGCTGGCATGTCAGTTAACTGCTAGTAGTCTGTTGTTATTTATGTATTATTGTCATTTTGTTTATTTTCTTTGGTTACATCTTCTGACATCAGACTCGGACTTCTCTTGAACTGAATTTTAATGTGCGTATTGTTATGCGTTTACTTTTCTACATTGGCTAGAGGTATAGGGGGAGGTTTGAGATCTCATAAACATGTTTAACCCCGCCGCATTTTTGCGCCTGTCCCAAGTCAGGAGCCTCTAGCCTTTGTCAGTCTTGTATTATTTTTAATTTTAGTTTCTTGTGTACAATTTGGAGTTTAGTATGGCGTTCATTATCACTGAACTAGTATATATATTTGTTTAGGGGCCAGCTGAAGGACGCCTCCGGGTGCGGGAATTTCTCGCTGCATTGAAGACCTGTTGGTGACCTTCTGCTGTTGTCTGTTCTATGGTCGGGTTGTTGTCTCTTTGACACATTCCCCATTTCCATTCTCAATTTTATTCATCTTCAACTTCAGTGTTACATAATTTACATATTCTATCCTCCACTCGAAGCCCAACATATCTGCCTCTTTCAATTTCTAATTTATGTGCACTGACTCTGAACTTAGTGAGCAGTCGCCTATCATCCTCATTCAAAATTAATAAGTATTTTTCCATACAAATATTTTCTTTAAATAATCTGTAAGTTCTTAGTTTATTTCCATGCTGTTTATTTTGTCTATCATTGTAAAGTTCAGATTTCCAAATACAAGGATATTTCTGTTTTAATTTCCGGTAAATTAGTGATTTTAAATCCATCTTTGAATTTTTAACAAGTTTAAGATCTATATCAAGATATTTCATAAGAATAACAATACAACTATACCAACTATTTTTGTTTAAACTATTTAGTGATCTAGAGACATTCAGAGCTTCAGAGAGAAGGATATCATCAGACTTTAATACATATTTATAATATCTAAACATATTTAAAATTACTTCAAGAAATAAGGGATATCTTTCCATTTCACCCAATACAGCTATATTTGTAGATTTCTTACCTAAACCCATAGAAAATTTACAGAATTTGACATGAATACTTTCTTGTTTCATGTCCTTGCATAGTTTAAATAGATTATGTTCATTTTTATTTAGTTTATTTATTACTGAAGCTCCCCATATTTCACTCCCATATAACAACACAGGTTTCACAGTACAATCAAATATATGTGAAAGTGTGTTAATTTTAGGTTTTTATAAGTTAAAACTTCTTTTATATTTCAATAAAAGCTTTTAAATCCCATTTTATATAAATCTTCTTTAGCCTCTGTAAAGCTTCCACTTGCACTTACATAAATTCCTAAATATTTATAACCCCTAGCCCTTTCAATAGGTACATTAGTAACATTAAATATTTTTTCATACAGTTTTCCTGTTTTATTAAATACTACTGATTTACTTTTCTTTATATTTATTTGGAGCCCCATTTATCACAGTAGTTATATAGTTTATCAATACACTTCTGTAAACCATCGCTGTTTCTGACATCAATACTTAGTCATCTGCATACAATAAGCAATTAAACTGTAAGGAATTTAAAATAGCAGGTTTACAGGTCTCTTCAAATGAGTCAAGAATATCATTTATAAACATTTTAAATAAAGTGGGACTTAAATTATCCCCTTGTTTGACTCCTATGTTAGATGTAAAGTTTTCAGTCATAGAATATTTGTATACCTTTACACAAAGTTCAATATTATTATACATATCTTTTAGAGTGTTATAAAATAAATCACTGACTCCAATATTTCTTAGTTTATAAAAAAGTCCATCATGACTAACAGTGTCAAAGGCTCTTCTTAGGTCAACATAGCATGTAAAGAATTTTTTATCGTCTTGTTGAGTATACTTTTCTATAAGAGTTCTCAAAACTAAATGATGATCACTGGTGCGCTTGCCTTTACAGAAACCAATTTGTTCCGGTTTAATAATATTTCTACTTGCCAAAAACTTCTTTAAACGAATATTTAAAATTTTCACAAATAACTTGCCTAAACAACTTCCAATGGTAATTCCTCTATAATTTGAAGGGTCGTCTTTTGAACCACTTTTAAATAAAGGAACTATATATCCTTTTGCCCAAATTTTGGGAAAATTTCCTGAGTTTAAGACACTATTAAACAATTTTTGAAAACAAGGAACTTAATATATTTGACTGGACTTTAACATTTCATTTAAAATTGAGTCAAAATCACTGGCTTTTTTATTTTTTAGTGTACTAATCGCCTTTTCTATTTCTGTTTTTGAAATCAAATTATCAAGTTCAGTAAATATTTTTTTCTCTTTCCATATCTTTTAGCTTATCTTTTAATTATTTACAGGACGCATTGGTCTCTTTTTCATTTAAATTTTTAAAATAAGAAAACCAAGCATCTGTTGACACATCAGATGTGGAATTCTCCCTATTTGTATCTGATAACTCATGAAGCAGTGCCCAATATTGACTTGGATTATCGTCTTTTTAATTATCTAATTTATCTATTAAATCTTGTCGAAAATCCCTTATTTTTTTCTTTCTTGTTTTTCTGTAATGTTTTAAAAGACTGAAAAAAGATGACCTTATTACTGGATCAAAAGGATATTTTTGTAACAATTTTTCTTTATCATTTAGGTTATTTTTTAATTTAGATAATGAAGCATCTCACCAATTGGGTTTTTTCTTTACATTTTGTTTTAACTTGCTTGTTGATTTTTTAGTAGGCTTTTGTTTTAGTGATAAATTTGCAGCTTCATAGAATATAGTATTAACACCTTTAATCATATTATTAATATCAGAATGGTAATCAGTTTTATTTAAATTCAAAATTTTTTGTTGCATACCGCCTGAAGATAATGCTTCCTGAAATAATTCAGTATAGTTCTCATTCCATTTATAACTTTTAAGAGACATCTGAGTGTGACATGTTTCTCCTTTTATTTTACACTGTATGTTCAATAACACAGAAGTCTGACAATGATCAGAGAGATCGCCCAATAAGTTATGGACTTTAAAAAAACATACCTTTGATAATAAATTTTCTGATACAATAAAATAGTCTACAACGCTACATCCATTTGGAGTATAGCATGTTAATAATATCCTTTGTTTCTATTTCTCATAAAAATCTATAGTCTTGATATTTATTGTACCCTTTACTTTTAAAACCATTTATATTCCAGCAACTGATATGTAATTTTGATTTCTTTGTGAATAAACACATTTTTTATACTTGACACCAAGTTTTTATACTATGTACAAAGAAAATTATATACCAATGGCTAACAAGAACAATTACAATTTTATACTACATGTAATAAGAAAGATAACTCTTGTAATCTTATATATTGACTTGTCTGAATGTACTGATAATTATCAAAGAAAAAATTTAAAACTTCTTACACTATACATCTAAGCTTTTCACTTTGTTTATGTACATACTTTCATAGACTTTCTATCTGATAATTAGGCTTTTATCAAATGTTTTAGATATAGTCTATACATGTATCACTTTACTTTAACTGACTTCTTATGAGTTATAACATTTATCATTATTATTACCAAACATGCTTAATTTTTAACATTTTTTGGCAAAAATTATGTTTTCAGTCAAGTGAATCTCCTTTATAAAAATAACAGTCAATCAGTACAGTCATGACATTTAATACCTCAAAAATATGCAAAACAACTAATCAAGAATAAAACTTAAATTCAACATGTGATTCTTTAAACACTGTATATTCATATTTAGTGTGTATAGTCATGACAGTATACCTTGTATATTAAACATAGAAAATGTACTATTTGTTCTATTCACGATTGTTCTACCCAGGCCTATTATACATGGAGCTTGAATATTGATAATAAAGATTTAAAGTCAGTTCTGTCGGTACATATTCATGGAATTTAATTTTATTATCGTTAGAAAGGTAACGCCTAACGGTCAGTGTTATTATTTTTTTCTGATTACCAGAATTATTAAAAACGGATATCTTCTGTGTATTTCTGTCTTCATGACTGGAACATGTCTGCATCATACTCATTCAAAAGTGAAATAATCTGTTTCAGGATATCATATTTGGAATTCAGATATCTCGCCTCATCCACATCACCCTTTTCTATATAATAGTTGCGTTGTTCCTCAATGGATTTCAAAGTTTCTGAAGATATAAGAAGAGACGAGTTTCCTTCGTTAACTTCTTCAATACTATCGACATGTATCCCATATATCTTGGTTATGTACTTGTGGCTGAATTTACAAGCTAAATGCAATGGTGTCTAACCAGCATTATTACGTAAATTGGGGTCTGATTTCTTCGAGGAAAGTATTGTTTTTACCAGTTCATAATCTCCATACCTACATGCTTTATGTAAAGGAGTTTCTCCTTCATTGTCTCGTGCATTCACATCTGCTCCATAACCAATTAGTAATTTGACTATCGACTTGCATTTCGTTGATATGTCCATGACAAACATAGGAGAGTTATTGATCTCGCGTTGGTTATATATCGAGAAGTTACATCTCTCACAAATTACATGAAGGGGAGTTTTTCCGGTGCTATCACACAATTTTAAGTTTGCTTTATTTTTAAGCAATATTTCAATGATATCGATATCTGGTCTAATTCTCCTCTCACAGGCGAAATGTAGAGGTGACCTGTTATGATAGTCTCGCATATTGACATTCGCTTTGTTGCTTATAAGAAATTCAATTAAAGAAAACGAAACATTTTGACAGGCTAAATGTAAAGGTGATACTCCATTATTGTCCGGTTTGGAGATGTCTAACTTATTTTGAATCAACAGACTTATAACAGATTTGTGATCTTCATTATCACGAGAAGATTCACAGGTTGCATGAAGTAATGATTGGCCAGTATCGGAGTATTGAAACACACCAATACCTTGAGACAGAAAATATTGAACTGTCTTTATATTTCCTCCTTTGCATGCTAAATACATAGACTCATTTATCAAACTATGGCCTTCTTCACCTAAAAGAAGATCTGCGTTTTTCATAAATATTTTTACAATGTCTGTGCAACCAAAAAACGAGGCCGTACGCATAGAAAACCACCTGTCAAAACAAGAAATTTGGTCGCTACATTTCTGTAATAACATCTGCATAATATTAACTTGGTTACTTGCGCAAGCAGCAGCCAAGGGTGAATTTACGCTTCTATCCCATTCATATATATCTGGATATATATCTGTATCGCTTTCCAGTAACATTTTCACAATCCCTGCATGTTCATTTTCACAAGCTATTAGCAGAGGCGATTTGCTGGGTATTGTTTTAAAAACCTCAACTTTGTTTTCTAGTAATACTCTAACTATATCAGCATAACCACCCTCGCATGCCAAACTCAAAGGAGTGTCATGGAATTTAGACCGACTGTTTACATCTGCATTGTTTTCAAGCAACAGTTTCACTACATCTAAATGGCCCGCTTTACATGCCATCTGGAGAGGACAATGATTCATCCAAATATCGGTGGCATTAACGTCAGCTTCATTCTGAAGTAGAAGTCTCACTATATTTATGTGTCCTTGCTCACATGCTATGCGTAACGGTGATACATAGTGTCGGTCAAATTTACAGACATCAACATTTTTAGCAAGAAGCAATTGCACAATAATATCATTTCCTGCTTGACATGCCATATGTAATGGAGATGATTCGTCTTCATGACACAAAGAAGGGTCGGCACCATGGTTTAATAAAATTTTGACAACATCATGAAATCCGCCTTTACAAGCTTTATATAAGGCTGATCTATCAAAGCTGTCTATATGATTTATATTACAATTCATTTTGATTAGGAAGTCAACAATATCAACATACCCCTCGGTAGCTGCTTCTATTAACGGAAACGTAATGTCCCTTACTCTACATTCATCGTTCGTATCGTCAATGTCAGATTCATCCCAAAAATGGACTTCCCCCACATCCAATTTTAAGCCATTCTTGTCAATTAGGTTGAACGAATCCTTCAAATCCTCGGCATTGTTGTTAAGATATCTTAGAAATTTTTCTCGAAATGATTTGTGGACTAATTGTTTATTATGTAGGGTGCTGTAGACATCCAGTTGTTTCAAATCGTCTACAAGTCTTTGAAAATAATCTTCTTCCATTTCTGCCGAAAGTACAACAAGGTCATCAGTGGGATTTGTTTCAATCGATTCAAATATATATCTATCGCCGATAAACTTTCCATTGGCAAATCTAATAAAACATTCTTTAAATGTCTGTGCGCATACAACGGATGCAATATCGTATATTTTGTCATGAATTATGCTGTACTTTGTTCCATTTTTCTTCAGAAACGTTCCCAATAATGTCGAAAATCCGTTTTCTAAAGATCGTCTTTCGAGTTCTCTTTCCAAATCAATGTTACAGTTTAAAGCGATAAGTTTTTTTCTTGATGTTATAGGACTCGTTTTCACTCTACTTTTAAGCCATTCCTCTTTAATTCCTTTCTCAAACAAAATACATAAAATTAAGGCACATAATTGGTAGTTTTTTCCCGATTCTATCATATATTCAATATCTTCTTTTATTGTTTTAATCGGTGATGTGAAGAGCAGTTTTAGTTTGTCAAATGACAAGTTTTTGGACATTTTACACAGTAGTGGGAAGAAGTCAAAATCGCACAAATGATCTATCACATGATTAATTTGTTCGCTTGTTAGATATTTCTGTATTATCAATTTTCTTTCATCTCCGAGAAGACAAAACGATTCAGATACAAGATTAACAGCATTTTCAGTAAATAGTGATAAACATTTGAACTGTGAGTCATTAAACACTTGAAGCCTACAGGAAATTAGAAGTTTTGCACTTATTGTTTCTTCTGTTTCGACGGAATATGATTGGAATACAGATTTTAACTTTTCTTTGAGGTCTTTCCATATATTTACAAACTGCACATTGATTGTTCCTTTACCACATATATCATCAATTACAAAAACCTGATTTCTAATTTTACTCTTATAACGAATTATATCCGAAGGCGCCGTTACAAATGATAAAGGTATTATATCAAAATTTTTCTGACGATGTAACTCTAAAGCAACATGGTGGATGAGAAATGATTTTCCTGTACCGGAACTCCCTGTTAAAACAGCTATATTACATTTTGAAAGCCACGACATTACATGTTCTGATGCTCTTGTTTCTACAAATGTCTCATCATCTCTTTCCCAGTCTCGAATGACATCTTCATGGTCATCTAAAAATTAAAAATATTACAAACAGATTAGAATAATGCAAATAATGGCATTTACTGTTTGACATTGCATTGGTGATACCATTAATGAATAATGTTGGAATTTGTTTCGTTTATCAAGATGTAATACATTAAATTGTCTTTGCTTGGGTTTCATATATAGGCACTAGCTACGATTACCCGCAAAAATGACAAATGACAAGGTTACAACCTAAAATCAAAGTATTAATCTTTAGTATTTAAGTTTAACCGACCTCTACAACCCCATTTTCATTTAAAAATTACATGATCTGTAAGTGTAAGCTTCTTACTTTTCAACAATACAAGTCATCTTCTTAATATTTTTCTAACATTAAAACAGAGCAATTTTTCCTCATTGGGTCTATTCAAAACTACTTGCCAATGCTTCAAAACTGTCTTTCACTTCCAACGCTACAAACACACCTTTCAATATTCTGATATCTAAATTCTACAACCTTAACTTCTAGTTTTATCTTTGGGACAAAGAACTTGAAATCTATGTCGCAATCCGATGCAACAACTTGACCTCCCATTATCAACCAATTCGTCAACACGACCTCCCTTTATTTACCATGATTACCATTCAAAATTGTACCCCTCAATACAATGAAACAGAAACTAGTTTTGCAGGTGTTCGAATTAAGCATTCAATGTTTTTACCTAGAAAAATCTTATGATACTGGATTTCCATTCGACAAAAAGCGTTTATTCATTTATCTTCATCGTTTATGCACAAGAACAAAAGATGTGAAAGCTAGATATATATATAAAAAAAAAATGCACCACAGTATAAATACTAAAAGGCATAAGGGGACTACACGTTTTAAGTTGTCAAATTTACTTTCAAATAGATGTCTTGCACATTCCAACATGACTTCCATGAATTGACATTCAAAAGTAAAATCCAGATCTCTTAGTTTGTATCTATCAACCTGGCCTCATTTATTCATTTATACAAATAACAGTTGCATATGCGTTCGCTGGAAATGCCTTTATCAGGACGCCAAAACCTAAACATTTGAAAGTGTTCCAAGGTACATAAATTACGATGTTTACCTCTCACATTCCCTAGTATCGTGACCTGCTGAGAAATTTCAATCTCTTTCTTTAGACTTTCCAAGGACTGTTTTAGGTCTCTGATTTCATCCTTTGAACTTTTGATTTCCAACATTATTTCGTGGCTGGTTTGATCTAGAGGTTTGGTTTTCAAGTTATCACATTCCAGCCGAAATTGATGCCCTCCTACTCGACCTATCGCCTGGAATGTATTTTATGTATTAAGAATTAAACAGGCAAGATTATAGAATAGAGGCATTAAGTTAAACTGTTTATGCAAATGCAAAAATGTAAGGGCTGCACTTAAAGACTTTCAAATAGTTCAGTTTTATAGAACATTCAACTGTAGAAATGAAAAAAATTGCGCAATCAGACTTTCCATGCTCAATGATAATCGTGAAGGAGTGAAGAAATGTTTGAACAAAATATTTGCCAATTCTGAAATATTATAAGGTTACCTTAAGCGATATGAATATGTTAAGTTAAGTCTGTTATCATTGTAACAGCATAAAAGCGGGAGGTTTGGCATGCCACAAAACCAGGTTCAACCCACCATTTTCTTTCTTAAAATGTCCTGTACAAAGTCAGGAAAATGGCCATTGTTATATTATAGTTCGTGTGAGTGTTACATTTTAATGTTGTGTTTTTGTTGTGTCGTTGTTCTCCTCTTATATTTGATGCGTTTCCCTCAGTTTTAGTTTGTAACCCGGATTTGTTTTCATCTCTATCGATTTATGAGTTTCGAACAGCGGTATACTACTGTTGCCTTTATTTAGTAACTTCTTATCTATATTGACATAAAAAATTAAACAATTAAACAAAACTCAGCTTCTTCCAGTTAATTATCGTAAGTATTAGTATAATTGATACATGAAAGTCATTTATTCTCATACTATAGAGCAACATGGACCCAAAGAATCTTCAGGAGTATTGTTCCAACAGACAAATATTTGTGAATTCGCAAAGGCATACATATTTGCTATGCATTATTAGTTGTCGTTGATACATCTCATTTCCCTGGAGATTATTTGGTGCACCCTCAGACATGGTCTATTGACTTTGAAATATTGCATACTAGTAATTTATATGTTTAAATTTACAATAACGTCAGTTTAAAGGGAACAGTTTGAGTGGTGATATTTAGTAAACAGTTGTGTTAGCATTGGTACATCTCCGCTCCATGAAGATAGTTTTCTCTTACACCTTCAGGTCAATCAATTCGTGTTGGTGCCTTAAAACTCTGTTGGATCAATTTTTTTGCAAGGAGAATACCCCTGTTAATGAAGTCAGGATAATGTTGAAATGCACGAGCTTAAAGTATCAACTGAGTTATGTAATACGATGAATGAAAGGGTATGCGACTGCTGAGAAATGGGAAGTTGACTTTTTGGATAGTTGAAATCTTTACGTTTGTCATAGATTCTACTTTGAAGTCGTCCATTCGTGTCAATGTCGAGGAAAAAAATCAAGATCATAAACGACCTTCTATTTTCAGTAGTCTTTTTAATCTTCATAGATATAAGAAGATGTGGTATGAGTGCCAATGAGACAACTCTCCATCCAAGTAAAAATTTATAAAAGTAAACCATTATAGGTCACAGTACGGTCTTCAACACGGAGCCTTGGCTCACACCGAACAGTAAGCTATAAAGGGTCCCAAAAAATTACTAGTGTAAAACCATTCAAACGGGAAAACCAACGGTCTAATCTATATAAAAAACGAGAAACGAGAAACACTTATGAACCACATCAACAAACGACAACTACTGGACATCAGATTCCTGACTTAGGACAGGTGCAAACAAATGCAGCTTAAGTTCACTAAGCTATATTAGAAGTAAGCACAGTGTCATTCATTAGAATGATGGTTATATTGGTTTACAGAACATCATCAAAATTCCTTTTGTCCTTGAGAAGGTTCTGTTTGGAATCTGCTTTGTATGAGTACAAAAACAACCTGGGCAGTAGTTCAAATTTTAAAACCGAATGTCTGCTGAAATGTCTTCAATTTAACAAATATGTTGTAGATCAAATAGATAGTAATTTTTCATTACGCTTCCCCATGATGTGAATGGCTTTGTTTAATGAGACGAAATAGTCTAATAAAAGTAGGACCATACACATATACATGCAGATAAGTTGTCAGAGATATTAAAAGATTTCTTTATAATAACCTTTTTCAATACCCTATCACTCAATTTTGAATTTCAATATTAGAAAAAGAAGTCGATGATGTTTCCATGGAATTAGTCAAAAGATATACCTTTATCATATGCATTATTTATTAATAACTCATTTGCCTGAGATTTAAACAGACTCCTTAATCAATTGTTTTCGAAATATATATAATAGATCAGACCTGAATCGCACAAAAATAAAATCTAACGATAGAATCGATCGTAAAGTCAGTTAGATGACAGGCAAATCTAATTTAAATTTGCCATTTGATTGGGGACTTTCCGTTTTGAATGTTCCCCGGAGTTCGTTATTTTTGTTATTTTACTTTTTTCAAAATAAACATCCTAATGATTGCTCTGCCAAGTAATGTCCTGTCGGGTTCAATGATTTTATTTGTGAGTAGTTTCGCTTACGCTTTAGTACTTCCGGGCATTGATAAGTATATTACATGAGAAAACTTCAAGTGGGCAAACAAACATAACAATGCGGGTATATTGGTTTTATTTATACAAGAGAACCATTTATATTGTAGTTCTATTTATAGGGGATAAATTTTGTCCCCGAGATGGTTTAAAATGAGAATTTGATACCAATTGATTCAATGATTTCAGAGGACTCAATTCTCAGTTTCTATATCAATGGACATGATCTATGAGATTATATATTCTGTTTTCAAAATCTTTAGACATTCATTTCCTAAGTGGTTTCAGAAGAGACATGGTAAATTTTATTATCTCCTAAAAGATGCTTTGTATTTATGTCAAGAGGTTCTTGGAAAATTTCTATTGTCGTAAAAAAATGTGGTTAAACAAAAAACCCTTCTCTCATAATAAACTCCTTAATGGAATAGAATGGTTGCACATAAGTTTTCTCCTGGACATTTGTCATCAAATTGTTTCTCGATAAAAAAAAAAGTATCAAAGACTTATAAATTTGTACACGTTTCGTCTATAGAGGACTAATCACTGGCAATATAAACAAGCCTGTCAGGACAATACTTCGCAGTGTTTATTTTCAAAACACTAAAATGTCAAGTCAAATACAAATTTCAAGTGCACTACAAAGCAGAAATGCCTTATACATTTGAACTGCTAATGGGTTCTTTGAGACTCACTGTCTTATATTTGAATTCGAGATTTGTATGAGTGCCATTTGAGTGATAAAGGCTCACTGGAACCACTTTAGTCAATCTTAAACGCAGTCCATAAAAATAGACATTGTCACTAATCTCAATTTTGATTTTCAACGATCCAAGAATTTTAAAAGGAAAATAATTTAAAAAAGGTAAACAAAGAACAGAAGTCAGATGTCTAATGATGAGATACATTTCTGGTCTATACATGTAGTTGATGTATATGATAATATGATAGATATATATACAGCATTACATTACATACATCCGTTACATCCTCCCAGTAAGTAATGAAGGAATCGTGGTCTATATTTGCATCATCCAGATGAGCCAGGCGATTTCTGTAAAACTTTATTCTAGCTAAATCAGCACCTAGTGTAGTCTCTGTAGCTGTTGGTAAACAATCAAAACCACCCATAGGAGGAATCATACGAGTCAGATTTCTAAGTAATGTTATCATCAAAGTGATGTCAAATGTTTTTGAATCAGGAACACCTAGAAATTATGACATATCGAAATAAATACTGCAGTATCCACTTTATATACTCACTTAAAGTTTTACTAAAGGGGCATTCATCGTAGATAAATTACTTACCATTACATAAATTAAATTCAAAAAATAAAAAAGCAATGAATGAGGTTGTTATATTTGATATATGCCTTTTTGTGCTTCTTTGTTAAATATTTGTTTGTTTTTATTATGATTAAATACTTGTGGTACTTGTACATCCTGTCATTATGTTATTGTTTATGATTATTCTCGTATACATCCCGTTATTGTGCTATTGTAAAACATGTATGTATGCTTGTCTTTCATTTTTGCTTTGTTTATATGCCTTTTTATGTTTCTTTGATACATATATGATGTGGCTCTGTACTTATATATCCCGTCATTGTGATATTGTACTATGGTAAATTTGTGTATTCTTGTCTTTAATAATTGCTAATATGCATGGTCTATATGCCATTTTGTGCTTCTTTGTTACATATTTGTTTGTTTTTTTTAGTGATTAAGATTATAACACAATGTTGACTGCTGTACCCCTGTTTTTGACATTTTTACCAATTATGTCTGTTTGTTTTGTTCACGCATCGTTGTCAATATAATGGAATTTGATGCGACTGTCATACAAGTGAGAGGTTTAGCTAGCTATAAAACCAGGTCCAATCCACCATTTTCTACATAAGAATATAACTGTACCAATTCAGGAATATGACAGTTGCTATCCATTCGTTTGATGTGTTTGTGCTTTTGATTTTGCCATTTGAGTAAGGACTTTCCTTTTTGAATTTTCCTAGGAGTTCAGTATTTTTGTGATTTTACTTTTTACTAGTTTAGCGTAATTACATCTTATTTATGTTTTTGCATTAACAAAATCATGGAAGTATATTACAAAACTAATCAAATTTAGCAATAAGGATAATATTTTGGTTATTGGAAACATAAAATGTAAATTCAGGCGCTCGTAGTTTACTGCTGTTAAAATCCGTAGATCCGATGAACGATTTGAATTAATGGTGGATAGACACATGTTTTACGAACGAAGTCTCTCCGAATATATATAAAGCGTGGAGACAGAAATGACAATATTGTTTAACTTGTGGAATTAACAGTTCATGCTGTCTGTTGGAAGTACCAAATATTTGTTTATTCCAGAAACAATATGAAGGTGTACAACTGTTGATTGTCAAAGTCCTGTATATGTGGTAGACTGTATTTTATAGGTTTTACAGTAATTGTGTATATTTTTATAGTTAGTTTATAGTGTTGTATTTTGTTTATTATATGACTTATATTGATTAATTGAAGGTATAAGTATATTTATTACAGATTGTAATTAATTGATATGTATATTTATTTGCTTAGTTTATTTTATTTGCTTATTTGACAGTTGGACTTATTGACAGACGACATTTTCTACTGGTTTGGGTAACTTTGGTTTCACTGTATTTTACTTCAAAGGATTTCTTTTCATGGTTCATTGGACCGCACACTTTCTTTATTTCTATTGGTCATTATGTTTTGGCGCTATATTTCTTTTGTTCTTTATGCTGGTCATCACGTTTTGATATAATGGTGGACATAGACATATGTGTTTGATATTGTTCTAAGTTTGAGTAATCTTTCTTAGTGTTCTATATTCTATAAACAGGTCAGTTATCTTTCTCTGTTACTAATTATATGTTAATAGTCCCGATATTTATTATTTTACCTAGAATGAATGTTAAGAATGAAAGGCCGATGCGTAAATGTTGAATGCAAGATGAATGCTTTAAAATGATATAAAATAGATAAAGTACATTAAAGTATTATCTGTTTGACTAAATTGTTTAAGAGACGTTATTTTCATATTTTCATAAATAAAGTACTTTTAACAAATTCGGTAAATAATTAATCTAATACACATAGTGACAGAATTCGAGTGTTCCGGAATGAATGCGTTAAATACTTTTAAAGGTGAAGATTAAACATAATAAAAGTTATGTGGTATTGATTGATTATTTTAACTAAGAGTACATATCGTAAACAGGTGGATTATTACAGTAAAGCATGGATTACAATTTGTTTATTTGTTATACGGTTATATTTTTAGTAATCCTGGGAAGATGTGATTAAATTCCAATTAGATAATTCAGGAGGCCTTTGCACCTCATGCGAGGTAAGATAAGTGTTATTTTTGTAATGTTCGTATATTTGTTCGTTGCTATTTTATGCCTACGGCATTTATACAGCATGCAGTTTTGCCTTTAGTTTTGTTGATTTGCTTATGTTAAAAATTGCGTTAACCGCTTTTGTCATTGTTCGTATATTAGACTTGTTTATATAATATGAGTCGTTAAGTGCATATGGACTAAACTTTGTCAGATACTTTCAACAATATAAGCATATTGTTGTAAATACATGCAGAACAGATTTATTTCTATTTCTATTAGTAAAACATTTGTTAATCATATTACATGGATAGAAACCTATGTACCAGATTATTTACTTGATAAACGGTCAGAATCTTACTATTGTATTCATTTTGCAGGGTATTGATTTAGTATTTGTTATTATCCTGATTTTATCAAGAAATAAAACGAATCCACCTCAGAAGAAAGTATTGTGTTTTATTAGCCCTAGAAAGTGCTACTACATATATGTACTTTTATCGCGAGTACTTATTTTCGCCAAATTAGTTTTGCTTATGAATGCACGTGAATCTAATTTTGCGATATTTCAAAAAATCTTAAAAAATTAAAAATTGGTTTAATATTTCAATGTTCAATAATCTAGTCTTTTTTTAAAAAAAAATATAAAAAATTTCTTACAAAGACTATTCAATGAAGTCTATTCATTAGAGGTTATTACCCGATTGATTTTTTTTGGATTTTTTTGTTATTGACTTTGGCTTGGGGCATTATCTATTACTGTTTATCTTTAAATAATTTTCTGAATGGATCACTGGTGTGATTTTAACAGTTGCACACTTTGATTCGGGTTATTGTAAGATAAACAAAGCAATCATGCATGTTCAGTTGAATATTCCGGTGATACGCATTCAATGGTATTTATTATGCATGTATAAACTGCATTTGTACTCGCGTGTTCTAATTTTCTCTCGAAAATATACCTGCCGCGACATTGTAGAAATAAAAACATGGCAAAAAAGTACATATACAGTAATTTTGTAGGGTAACATTAAAATCATGTATAAACAGTTATTGGATTCTGAGACAGTGATTACTTGCATTGACGAGTGTACTTTCTTTACAGGTAGATATTTGTAATTTCTGTATCTTTTCTTTAAATTGTTTCGTACGAGGGCGAGGTAGATCATAATAAATCATGTAGGAATTTGTTTAATTTTGTAAAAATACGCTTACCTTGTTTTGCATACCACTGCCACATAATCCTTTCTCTTATTTCAATATATCACACATCTTCACTTAAATGGTTTTTTTATACGGAAACACAAGCAGGGGAACAATTGTTTTCTATTAATTTCTCAACAATTTTTTAGCAAAGATACATGTATGAACATTCGATAAAGGATTCAGATGGACAATTGAATGTTCTCTTAGCACTAATTATACATCTATGTTATTACCTTAACGCATGGGGTTTAATTGTAAATTGATATCAAACAAGTCTGTGCTTACCTTGAGATGGCGGGAACAGAAGATCCCATTGTTTCTGACTAATTCTATGTTGCCTTTTAAGCTCATTTAGTTTGGTGTATTCTTTCTTCAATGAAGAATATAAACATTGCGGAGAAAATTCACGATCAAAACAGACTCTAACTGCACGTGGAGAAATTCCCGTAAGGAGCAGACTCATCCGTACATAATTTTCTTCCTCTACTGGCAGAATCGCAGTCGCCATTTTGTCGAGCTATCTTAATGAGGGATCGTAGCTGTATGTGTTCATGCATATAGTTCCGGATATATCGTCTGCATACAAAAAATCTTTGTCTTTAAACGATTGCAGTCATCATTTATTTCATTGTATTTTCCACATTTAAAAACATTCATTTGAAAGGTAGGTCAAAGTTATTCCTACGTACATATATTTTATTGTAACCTTGTACTTGTTTGCCAACATCAAACGGATGATTGGACAATCAAGTCTTGATATTTTTAAATTTTTAAATAGATCTGTATGTAGCTCTAAATTTAGCAACGATATTTAAACAAGTAGACCAATAATCAATAGAAAGACTTTGTTCTTCACTTTTTTGTCACACTGCTTTTGGTGTTCATATGAACAATTGGTTCGACATATCACTATAGAAGCCTTTATTACCCTTTTTATGTTTGAGGAATAAAAATTAAATCAGTATCATATTAAGATTTAAAAGTAGATATAATAGAAAAAGAGACAAAAACATTGGATTACAATTTCTCATAATGAAAAAAAAAAAAAAAAAAAAAAAAAAAAAAAAAAAAATCCGTCCTCGGTTTCATTTCAAACATATTTGTAAAGTTAAATATGACGTGTCCCCTTTTAACCATATTTGCTTGATTAACCAAAAAAAAAACAACAAAAAAACAATCAAACAACACTGTTATAATAGTACTTGTAAAACTTATAAGCACTGAGTCAATAGATTAGAAATCTATCCAAACTACTCTTGTCTGCATAGAGTCGCACATAATCGGTTTTAAAAAGTTAGTTCGATTCCAAGCGACGTGAAATAACAATTACGAAAATGAAAATACGTTTAAGATAATTCAGAAAAATACAAGAAGTAAATATGAACAGCAATGATCTACAATAGGCAAAAAAAAAAAAAAAAGGAAGAGCGAAATGGTTTGTTTACTCCTTATATGGATTAAATGAAAAAAAATTTGTTGCCATTTTTAGTGTTAACCTTAAATCTTTATAGTTATTATAGATATACCAAAAGTTTGAATAGCAATTAAAGACAAGACAAAGAAAAATATATATTTATTCCAAGTATAGGTATCCCGATGAGCAAAGTATTTTATAACAATGATATTTTCATAATTGAGAGATACAAATGATTTTGACAATCTTATATAAATATGAATATAATAAACTTTATTGTATGATCTTAAGCCTCGACCAGACCAGAGCCATACACATATGTGTTAAAACAGTAATTAAAAAGATTATGTAAAATGTTAACAGGAAAATTTTCCTACATGGGTTACAAATGAACATATCTGTATTATATGGATAGTTTTAGGAGCTCATAACATTATCAATATAAGTTCCAAAAAGTTTGAATACCACCAGGTTTCCCTGAACATGAAGTCAATTGAACTTAGCACTTTTGTTTTACACTTCATAATTTTTACAACTTATAAAAAACTTATCATAGAACTATTTTCTCAAAAGATTATAAAGGGGACGTTCACATATAAAATGTTGTTCATCTCCAACTTATCCAACATGCATGTTATACATAGCCTTTGTGATTTATCTATAAATCTTTTTACATATCAGAGTCTATGTTAGGAAGTATGCGCTTATTCTGATCTTGCATAGTGCTTACCTATTTTAAAATTACTTTTATTCAAAATATATTTATGAATTCATAGATATTTAATCAATAAATTAGGGGCCTCGGTGGCCAAGTGGTCTAATTAGTTTTACTACTGTAATCACTAGCCAGTCAACACTGAGGTTGTGAGTTCGAACCCCACTCCTGTGGGTGCACTCGACTCCAATCTTAATTGACTAGGATTGTCCGTTTTCCTTTCGAAGGTCGGTGGTTTTCTCCGGGCACTCAGGCTTCATCCACTAATACAAACTGGGCGCCACGAAATAGCCCAAAAGTGGCGCTTAAAAGTGGCGTTAAAACACCAACAATCAATCAATTAATAATTTAGCCAAGAATATTCAATCTAAACTCTTTCCAATGATCCAGAAAACATTCACAAAATGTGTCCTTAATTATTTTACATAATCGGCCAACACTGACATTTTAGTTTGATAAGCATAGTTCTTTCATTAACAAGAGTGCACACGCTGAAATGTCTCGCCTTCTTTACTAATCATTGATATTATGTTGATAGTCCTAAATATAAAGCTTTACTACAACTATCACATACACTTAACATGATCCAAGAAAATGAGGTCAAGGTCATATAAACCAAACAAGAAATACATGTACACCTTACAATCATTCAATACACTAAATATAGTTGACCTATTGTTTATAGTTTCTAAGATACAGACTTAACCAAGAAAACTAAACATTGACCAATGAACCAAGAAAATGAGGTCAAGGTCAGATGAACAATGCCAGGCAGACATGTACTACAGCTTGCAATCCTTCCATACAACAAATATAGTTGACCTATTGCTTATAGTATTAGAAAAACAGACCAAAACACAAAAACTTAACACTGAGCAATGAACCGTGAAAATGAGGTCAAGGTCAAATAAAACCTGCAAGACTGACAGGTACATAATAAAATATTTCCATACACCAAATATAGATGACCTATTGCATATAGTATTAGAAAAAAAGACCAAAACTCAAAAACTTAACTTTGACCACTGAACCATGAAAATGAGGTCAAGGTCAGAAGACACCTACCCGCTAGACATGTACACCTTACAATCATTCCATACACCAAATATAGTAGACCTATGGCATACTGTATAAGAAAAACAGACCAAAACACAAAAACTTAACAATAACCACTGAACCATGAAAATGAGGTCAAGGTCAGATGACACCTGCCAGTTGGACATGTACACCTTACAGTCCTTCCATACACCGAATATACTAAACCTATTGCTTATAGTATCTGAGATATGGACTTGACCACCAAAACTTAACCTTGTTCATTGATCCATGAAATGAGGTCGAGGTCAAGTGAAAACTGTGTGACGGGCATCAGGACCTTGCAAGGTACGCACATACCACATATAGTTGAACTATTGCATATAGTATTAGAAAAAAAGACCAAAACTCAAAAACTTAACTTTGACCACTGAACCATGAAAATGAGGTCAAGGTCAGATGACACCTGCCCGCTAGACATGTACACCTTACAATCATTCCATACACCAAATATAGTAGACCTATGGCATACTGTATAAGAAAAACAGACTAAAACACAAAAACTTAACAATAACCACTGAACCATGAAAATGAGGTCAAGGTCAGATGACACCTGCCAGTTGGACATGTACACCTTACAGTCCTTCCATACACCGAATATACTAGACCTATTGCTTATAGTATCTGAGATATGGACTTGACCACCAAAACTTAACCTTGTTCACTGATCCATGAAATGAGGTCGAGGTCAAGTGAAAACTGTCTGACGGGCATGAGGACCTTGCAAGGTACGCACATACCAAATATAGTTATCCTGTTACTTATAATAAGAGAGAATCTAACATTACAAAAAATCTTAACTTTTTTTCAAGTAGTCACTGAACCATGAAAATGAGGTCAAGGACATTGGACATGTGACTGACGGAAACTTCGTAACATGAGGCATCCATATACAAAGTATGAAGCATCCAGACCTTCCACCTTCTAAAATATAAAGCTTTTAAGAAGTTAGCTAACGCCGCCGCCGCCGCCGCCGCCGCCGCCGCCGCCGGATCACTATCCCTATGTCGAGCTTTCTGCGACAAAAGTCGCAGGCTCGACAAAAAGTTAAAACTTGAAAATCATATTGTAATGTTTTTCAGATGGAAATCGTTATTATAAATATATGCGTTACATAATAAACTTTTGTTTTATCCCACCTGTGAGCATATTTTAACACAGCCAATAAAATTATATATATATATATATATATATATAAGTAATCTTCAAAACTTTAGATAAATTAGCAGAATTAAGTGAGAGGTTTAGGCAGCTATAAATCCAGGTTTAATTCATCCTTTTCTACATAAGGAAACGACTGCACCAAGTCCGGAATATGATAGTTGTTTTACATTCGCTTGATGAGTCCGATATTTTTGTTGTTTTACTTTTTACTTGCATTTGTGTATTTCATAAAGTTGTTATGTGATATTTCCGATATGTAATTCGAGTAAAACTTTTCTAAAATGTAATCATTTTTCTATTAACATAAACATGAAGTAGTTGAAAATATTCCCATACATCACTGCTATACATTTAAAAAAAGGTTTAGTTATTTAAAACTATTTTAAAACTGGCATCTTGTTAGACATTTAGGCTTATAAACTGAGTTTTACTGTGCGTATTGCTGTGTGTTTGTATTTTCAATCTTGGCTAGAGGTATAGGTGGAAGGTTGAGATCTCAAAAACATGTTTAACCCCGCCACATTTATGCGCCTGTCCCAAGTCAGGAGCCTCTGGCCTTTGTTGCTCTTGTATGATTTTTAATTTTAGTTTCATTCATATATTTCGGAGTTATGTATGACGTCCTTTATCACTGAACTAGTACACATTTTTGTTTAGGGGCCAGCTGAAGCACGCTTCCGGATTCGGGATTTTCTCGCTGTATTGAAGACCCATCGGTTTCCTTCGGCTGTTTTCTGCTCTTTTTAGTCGGGTTGTTGTCTCTTTGACACATTCCCAATTTCTATTCTCAATTTCATGGTGACCCTATTTTTTACCACCAGTCATCCTTGAGGTATATAAATAAGGATATGCCATTACAATGATGAAACTAATTTTTAGGTAAAAATGTCGATTGATTCTAAAAAGACAAAAACATAACATGAATGAATTAATGAATACTTTATTTTCATTTTTTTTAAATGTTACAGATAACATTGTAACATAGGAACACGTGCAGACACATAATCGTTTTGTCCATTTTGTCTGATGGTCGATTGTTTATAATAACTTGTGAAGTAGAGGTTTTCATGGTGCCTATCTAATATTAGGAATATCGGACCATTGTTAATCTAAATAACGATATAATGCAAAACTGTCCCACTGTGACTGCAAAATAGACCCATCATTCATCCGATTCGAAACTTAGTATAATTCTATTGAATAATAATGTTAGTCGTTATCCCTTTCATTATCCTTTACAGTAACATTCATGCTGGAGCAGTTGTTAAGGACAATACATGTATATCTACAGATAAATCGCTAATATAAGTGCAATAGTATATCTTGGGTATGATAGGTCGTTGATACTAATTAGAACAAAAAAAACTAAATGAGCCTATAACACTCATGCTACGTACATTTATTTTCAAAGAGGAAATTGTGACAAAGTACTTATACTGTCCTACCCCCATGCAAATATATGCTTGTCTCTGCTGACAAACAATTAGGTTTTACAAAACATTATCTTTAAACACGTGTAAACATATATACATTCGTAGCAAATATATATAAAATTCGTAAAGGTTCCGCGGAACCCAGTGTCTCGCCTACTTTTGCTGTTAATCACAGGCTCAACAAAAATGAGGGAAAAAATTAATAAAAATATTCCTCTCTATACTATCTTTTGATTGTAAGTAGCTTCTGTCCAAGTTTGGTAAAAATCCAGGATAGTTTATGAATCTAATAAATGTTTTAAAAACTTAAACTGCAGACTGTATGTAATGTTAACTGGAAGAAAAACTAAGTCCATTTATAAGTAAAATACGGAAAAAATGGAACAAAATTTTAACAAAATTTCCTTCTAGATACTAGCTTTTGATCATAAACAAGCTACTGTCCAAGTTTGGTACAAATCCAGGATAGTTTAAGAAAGTTGTTAAAATTTTAAAAAACTTTAACCACAGAGTGAATGTAATGTAAACTGGCAGAAAAACTAAGTCCATTTATAAGTTAAATACAAATAAACTGGATTTTTTTTTTAAATTTACTTCTGGATACTATTTTATGATCATAAACCAGCTTCTGTCCAAGTTTGGTACAAATCCAGGATAGTTTAAGAAAGTTGTTAAAATTCTAAAAACTTTAACCACAGAGTGAATGTAATGTTAATTGGCAGAAAAACTAAGTCCATTTATAAGTAAAATACGGAAAAAATGGATTTTTTTTTTACAAATTTACTTCTGGATACTATCTTATGATCATAAACAAGCTTCTTTCCAAGTTTGGTAGAAATCCAGAATAGTTTAAGAAAGTTATTAAAAGTTCAAAAACTTTAACCACAGAGTGAATGTAATGTTTCCTGGCAGAAAAACTAAGTTCATTTATAAGTGAAATACGGAAAAAATGGATTTTTTTTTACAAAATTTACTTTTGAATATTATCTTATGATCATAAACAAGCTTCTGTCCAAGTTTGGTAGAAATCCAGGATAGTTTAAGAAAGTTATTAAAATTTCAAAAACTTTAACCACAGAGTGAATATTTGTGGACGCCGCCGACGACGACGCCGACGGAATGTAGGATCGCTATGTCTCGCTTTTTCGACAAAAGTCGAAGGCTCGACAATAACAATATTCTTTATATCTGAGAAAAACTGTCATGTATTATTTTTTTTCTGCCCTCGAATATAAAACTTTATCGTCTGTCGTAAAAACAATCTTTTGTCGTCAAATTTGTCGTACTAGGTTTCTTTATTTTCATTTCCACAAGCAACGTATATATATGATGGAATCTTCTTAGACTTGCAGTTTGTAACGGTGTCATTCTTTCCAAATCACAATAATCATAGTCAGCTCCTTTAGCTATCAACATCCTTACAATCTCAATACGACCGAAATGACAAGCAAAAAATATGGGTGACCGGCCCAAAATGTCAAAATAGTTATAATCTGCTCCTTGATCTAACAAACGCTTCACTATTTTTTCACTACCGTATGCACAAGCCATCATAAGCGGTGACATATCTTTATCGTCATATATATTAAAATTTGATCTATCTTTTACAAACAGTATAAAGTTATTTTCTATTATGTTCAACCTGAAAATGTAATCTGAAGGAACGCATATCATGAATTCGTTAAAAAATTTCCCTGAATTAAGCAATTTAAGTGATTTAACATTCCGTCCACATTTATTACAATCTGCTCCTTTGTTTAAAAGCACTCTAATTATTTCTTCATGTCTTTTTGCTCAGGAAATCCATACTGGTGACCTGCCATATTTGTCACATTTATTAAAATCTGCTCCTTTGTCTAACAACATCCTGATTATATCTGTACAACCATATTCACATGCAATTGATAGAGGTGACCTACCTTCTTTGTCGCATTTATTATAATCTGCCCCGCTGTATAACAATATCCTTACAATTTCTATATGACCATATGTACATGCAAGATATACTAGTGATCGGCCATAATTGTCATATTGGTAGCAATCGGCTTTTTTTTCTACAATCATCCTAACTATATCTGTATGCCCATGGGAAACAGAAACCCATAAAGGTGTCTGACCATCTTTATCACAGGTATAACAATCTGCTCCTTTGTCTAACATCATCCTGAATACTTCTGTATTACCTTGTTGGCATGCAAGGAATACAAGTGATTGGCCATTATTATCCCATTTATTATAATCTGCTCCCTTTTCTATCATTATTCTTACTATTTCTGTATGACCTTGTTTATAAGCCACCATTACCTGGGACTGACCATTTATGTCACATTTATCCAAATCTACTCCTTCGTTTAACAGCATAACATACTACTTCAACATAACCTTGTTCACATGCAACAAATAAAGGTGACTGATCAGTATTGTCACATATAGTAAAGTCTGCCCCGCTTTTTAAAAACATTCTTATTATTTCTGTGGGATAATATGTGAGTGCAAATATGAGGAGCGAATTGGTCATCTTTTCGCATTTAATATCTTCCACTGTTTTTTGTACTACCAATCCATCCCTTTTTCTATCAAAAATCTTACTAGTTCTGTGTGACTTTGTTCACAAGCAATTATAAACGGGGACTGACCATTTGGCCTACAGTGATTAATATCAGCACCGAGTTCACAACACCAATTGGTTAAAGAGATATCGCCATTTAAACAACATTGTAACAAGGGTGTATCTGTATTATATCTATCATTGGTATGCACCAATTGTTTCTGGTAAGATTTATCAAGGAAATTTAAATGACACAGGAACTGATCTTTGAATTCAGGAAGTTTCATATTGGTGTTACATACTACGCCTTGTACTTTTCCTTTTGACCAGTCATCAATTATCCTTCGGAAGTACAAATCGTAATATCTATTCGGTATAACGGTGATAAATTGGTCTATACATATGGCAAGCCGTTTATATATTTATTCAATTTCAAGATATCTTATAAAGTAAATAAGATATCTTATAAAGTAAATAAGATATCTTATAAAGTATATAAGATATCTTATAAAGTATATAAGATATCTTCTAATGTTTATAAGATATCTTCTTTAATTTGAATCTAATAAGATATCTTATTTATTTTATAAGATATCTTATTAACTTTTAAAGATATCTTGTATAGTTTATAAGATATCTTAAATCTTTTTAAAGATATATTTTAAGCAAATACTTTATAAGATATCTTTAAAAGGATATAAGATATCTTATTTACTTTATAAGATATCTTATTAACTATATCAGACATCTTATTAGTTATACAAGATATCTTATATGATTGATTTATCAGATATCTTATTTAGTTAATAAGATATCTTATTTAGTTAATAAGATATCTTTTTTAGTTTATCAGATATCTTATTAACTATATAAGATATCTTATTTAAAATAGCATTTGTAAATAAATTCGACAATGAACGCTCCCTCTTGAACTACGAGGCAGTAAATAGATCATGTGATCGCACTTTCAAAATGGCAGTTGAGAAGAGTCGGTTATTAATAAATATTCGAGATGTTAATATCCAGAAAGCATATGGGTGTATTAGAAATGACAAACTGCGACCTGAATTAATTCTTTGCATCGAGATTAATCACGCTACAGAAACGTTAGCTGTTTCAAAAAGTGTATATTTACTTTTGCAATCAGAATACAAACGATTTTTTGGCGTCCTAAAGTATGGTTCTTGAGCTCTCTTGTATAGTTTATGTTTTATGTGTTTGAGCTTTTGATTTTGCCATTTGATTAGGGA